GAGAGGTCCCATGGAGGCCCCAAGAGGCCCCCAATAAGCCCCCAAGAGGCCCCCGAGAGGCCCCGAGAGACCAGGAGGCCCCAAAGAGGCCCCCGTGACACCCCAGGTGGTCCCAGAAATACCACCACGAGGCCCAAAAAGAAGCTCCAAGAGGCCCCCAAATGGCCTCCAAGAGGTCACAAACGCGCAGGTAAACGCCTGCGATTGAACAATACGGGCCAGCGGAGTGAGCGAAGCGACGGCTGGCGCGGCTTGCCCACCGTCCTCTTCTGCCAGCACTCGAAACTCCGGAGCGCCCAAACGCGACGAGGGCTTCCGACTCTGGTAGCCCAGACCTCCGACGAAGCCGCCCTCGCGAGCCACTGGCCCCCAGACCTCTCGACCTCCTCCACGGGGCCGACTGCTATCCCGAGCCTCCGTTTGGACGGCCCTGTCGGGTCGGACGAATCGGGGGTGTAGCGAAAGAGGGTTCAGCAAATCAGCTCGCGCAGCTGACCTTCCCAGTTCCCCTGGCGCGGGGAGCGCCCAATGTACCGAAGAAAGCGCCTGGTGGCGGGGCCGAAACCAGCTGCGTGCAGCAGTTTCCCTATCCCCCCTCCCCCCAAGCCCCCGCCCCCTCTCTGGTCCGACCCGACCCCAAGGCCCCGATAAGAAGGGGCCAGAAAGCGAGAAAGGATTCCGCAAAGCAGCCATGGCCGCGACTGGCTCAGAGCCACCCCCTTGAGAGGTCCGGAAGAGCGCCCTGAGCGCGCTCCGAGCGAGGAGGAGGAGGAGGAGGAGGGGGAGGAGGAGGAGGAGGAGGAGGAGAAGGAGGAGGAGGAGGAGGAAGGAGCAGGAGGAGGGCGTCCCTCAAAAAAAAATACAACGGGTAAAAACATACCAAAACAACCACTCCATCACAAACAAAAAGAACAAAAAAAAAAAAAAAAAAAAAAAACAACCCAAAAAAAACAACACCAAAAACAACACCAAAAAAAAAGAAAAAATACAACCGAAAAACCCAACATAACAAAAAACAAAACAAAAAACATAATAAAAAAACGGGGAACCGGGGGGAGAAACGGGCGGGGCACATAAACGACCAACGTGCAATCCTACCCAACGGGCGTACCAACGGGGTTGGGCGGGGGGGGACCGAAAAACGTAACACGTGCGGGGGGGGGGGACCAAGCGCCGTGGTCGAATGACCGTTCGCGGGTGGGGTGCGGGGGGGGGACTGGGAACGCTTGCGGCGGCCAGAGGGCCCAAGAGCACACGGCTGTGGCTCACGAGCGCGGCTCTGCGCCGAGGTCGGAGCATCCACTGCGGGCTGGGGGCGCTCAGCATGAAGGGAGAAGGGGGCCCGGGAGGATGCCAGGTTCGAGGATCGAGGTTCGAGAATCGAGACTCTCCCTTTCTGCGCCTCCAGGGGCGGCCTCGTCGCAACGGCTGGATCCGCCTCCGCCTCGAAATGCTGGCAAAACGCACCCCAAGAGAGATCCGGGGTTCGACTTTTCAGGGTCGCCATGGAGAAAAGGGAATCGTGGAAGAAACGAATCCTGGAAGTTCTTCAGCACTTTCAGGCTCGCGGGGCCCTCCCTGGGGCCCTGATATCAACAAGAGCGGCTCGGGATGTGAAAGTGGCCCTGGAAGAAGCCCGTGCCAATCCCGCATTCTTTCTCTCTGCCTCTTTTTTTTTCTCTCTCTCTCTCTCTCTCTCTCTCTCTCATGGCCTTCGGCCCATCCCGCCACCGTGCCTGGGTTGTGAGTATGAAGCCTATTTGATGTTCGTTGGGATCTCGTGGGGGTTTCTCAGGGGCCTCTTGAAGGCAGTTTGGACGCCTCTTGGGGGGACGTTTGGGTGCCTCCTGGGGCCTCTTGGGGCCTCTTGGTGACCTCGTGGGGGCCTATTGAGCTTCGGGGGTGCACCTCTTAGACCTCCTGGGGGCCCCTCGGGGCGGAAGGCCCGGATTTTCGGCTCGTGTTCCCTATTCGGGGCCCTCTTCAGGGCTCTTTTGCTGCTATTTTTGGCGCCTCTTGGGCTGTCTTGGGGCCCTCTTGGACCGTCTTGGGGCGGTCTTGGAAGCCTCTTGGGCCGTCTTGGGGCGGTCTTGGGGGCCTCCAGGGCCGTCTGGGAGCGCCGCGAAGCCGAAAAGGCGATAACGCCAAAATCCTACAATGACCTGAGGAGCATCAATGATTTGGGCCTCTTGGGGCCCTCTTGGGAGGCCTCTGGGAGGCCTCTTTGGGCGTCTCGGCTCTCTTGGGTCGACTTGGGACCATCTTGAACATCTTGGAGCGATCGTTTGGCGACCGTATTGGCACGGTATAGATCCGCCACCGTGCCTCTGGGCACGGAGTGGGCGCGTCCTCGGGTCCTTTGCCCAATCCCATGAACCTCAGTCCTCAGTCCTGACGAGTATCTCAAAGGCCGGGACCCCACATTCTCAAATCTTCTTGGGCTTGGCGCGTGCCCCGTGGGGTTCCCGAGGAGGTGGCGCGAGACGTGTTCGGGTCTGAGAGGGCTGTATCACTGACCCGGAGAGCCCCAAGAAGCCCCCAAGACGGTCCAAGAGGGCACCGAGTTGCCAAACGATCGCTCCAAGACGCTCAGGACGGCCCCCATGACGGCCCAAGAAAGCTTCCGAGACACCCAAAGAGGCCTCCAAGAGGCCTCCCAAGAGGGCCCCAAGAGGGGAGACGGAGGAGAAGGGAGAGGAGGACGAAGAGGAGGTGGGGGGAAGATAGCCGTGACAATTTGTTTAAACAAGGTTTTCGACTATCACTCGCGCGATGGCGGCAGGGCATGAAACAAAATAAGCATGTTTTAATTATGAGTTTACAATAGGTCCGCGAGACTGAAGCCGGGCATGCCCGTCTAGTTGTTTTAAGGAGAAGGTGAAGGCAAGCAGGACGGGCAGGAGCACGAGCTGGAAAAGGGGTGGGACAACTGGGGAGGCACAGGGGAGGGCTGGAGGAACTACCAGCTGCCGACCTCCACGACCTCCACCCCCACCACCAGGCCCGCCAGCTAGACCACCGCGTCCGCTTCTGTCCTTCGCTCCCCGTTCCCCCGGCCGGACCGCCCCTGCTTCAGCGTACTCTATACTACAACGGGGCCAGAGTGCCACGGGGCCATTCGTCGAAGAGGTTGCGTCCCTGCGGCGGACTGCGGGGGACCCAAGACCACAACCCCAACGCCCGGGGGTCCCCCTTGGCGGCGGGAGTGGAGACCCACGCGGGTGCCCCCGGGCTTTTAAGCAAAGAGGGGGGGGAGAAGGGGAGGAAGACAACCTAGGTGCGCTCGCGTCATATATGACGTCCTACCCCTCCCTCCCATCCCTTACTATTGCGTAGATCTCTTGCCTATTTGCACAATCGGATGTCGAGCAAGGCAATGATCCCGAAAGGGTGCGCGATGCATCGTAGAGCACGGAATAACAGAGCGTGGAAGAACACGGCGGAGCGTAGTAATCCCACCAGCCCTTTGGGCGTGAGTGGTTTAGAGAGCCCTCTCTGTTCTCAACCCCCTTCTTCCCCTTCGGGGAGGGGTTTACCCCTCCCCCTACCCCCTCCCCCTGGGCCTGGAGAGGGAGCCCCGCGGGTCGTCAGGGGGGTAAATTTCGACTCCTGGGAGGGCTAAAAAACGACACCCCTCACGAGGATTCTGCCCCCGACGGGGGGGAGCAGAAAAAAAACATCTCCTCTTCTTTGAAGCCAAAATCATTGATTGTACTACGGTTTCGGCCCCATTTGGGCCTTCTGAGGGGGCAGCGCTCCTCTTCCTTCATAGCAAAATCATTGATTTTACACAGGTTTTGGGCTCATGTTGTCCTTCTCAGGGGCCAGCGCTCATTTGCGCTTCTGAGGAGGTCGCAAGAAGCCCCAAGATGGCCCCAAGAGGCCCCAGGGAGGCTCCCAAGAGGCCTCCAAGAGGCCCCCAAGAGGCCCCCAAGAGGCGCCCAAGAGGCCCCAAGAGGCTCCCCCGAGGCCCCCAAGACGCTCCTGGAAGCCCCTGGCTTCTGAGGAGGTCGCAAGAAGCCCCAAGATGGCCCCAAGAGGCCCCCAGGAGGCTCCCAAGAGGCCTCCAAGAGGCCCCCAAGAGGCCCCCAAGAGGCGCCCAAGAGGCCCCAAGAGGCTCCCCCGAGGCCCCCAAGACGCTCCTGGAAGCCCCTGGAGCCGCCAAGAGGCCCCCAAGACGCCCCAAACGGCCTCCAAGAGGCTCCCAAGAGGCCCGAAGAGGCTCCCCCAAGGCACCCAAGACGCTCCTAGAAGCCCCTGGGGCCGCCAAGAGGCCCCGAAGACGCCCCAAAAGGCCTCCAAGAGGCTCCCAAAACGACTCACACCACGACGAGGGCCCCGAACGACTCACACCACGAGGAGCCCGAACGAGTCACACCAGGAGGAGGGGCCCGAACGACTCACACGACGACGAGGGGCCCGAACAACTCACACCACGAGAAGCCCGAACGACTCACACCAGGACGAAGAGCCCGAACGACTCACATCACGAAGAGCCCGAACGATTCACACCAGGAAGAAGGGCCCGAACGACTCACACCAGGACAAGAAACCCCAAACGACTCAAACCACGAGGAGCGCTTTCTCTCCCTCCTCCTCCGCCTCGTCCTTCTCCCGCTCCCACCACAAGGAGGATGTACAAGGAGGCGGGAGGAAGGAGGAACAGGGGAGATATGCGGGGGCAGGCGGAAACACGCCTGAAAAACACGACTGTCGGCATGCTTCGCAAGAGTTGCTGTTTTGAGATGGGCTGGTGGGGATACGCGAAGCGTAAAGAATTATGTCATAGCATGGCGTGGCGTTGCGTAGTGAAGAATTGCATCACAAAGCATTGCAACGCAAAGAATGACACCGCACTGCGGCACATAATAGAACATTGCGTAGCATAGCGTTGAAAATCAAAGCGTAGCAGAACATAGTATGGCGTGGCACTGCGTAATCAAGCACTGCATATCCGAGCATTGCAGCTGAAGGCATGTCATCGCACAGCGGAACACCGCATACCTTTGCATTGCATTGCATGCCGTGGTATGGCACTGGAAATGATGACACCAGCGCTGCAGCGGCAGCACGATTCGTACCGAGCGGAAGCGCGGAAATGAGGCCAACGCTGCCGCGGGAGCACGACTCGGAACGAGCGGAGGCGCATAAATGAGGTCAGCGCTGCAGCGGGAGCACGATTCGAAACGAGCGGAAGCCCGAAAATGAGGCCGGCGCTTCAGCGGGAGCAACATTTAAACCAAAAATAGCCCCAACCATATACAGCTGCGAGTACCGCGAAGCGTATGAGACGGAGAAGGGGGGCCCGCTCTGGCCCAAGCCCCGTGCGCGGTCGTTTTGTCTTCATTTTCTTCCCAGCTTATTATTATCCCTCTTTGTTTCCGTTGCTCGTTGCACGCTTGCTTTCTTGATTTGGCCCCTTGCGCGGCCGTTTTGTCTCCATTTTCTTCTCCGCTTATTATCCTCTGTTTCTCTCTCTCTCTCTCTCTCTGTTAACGTTGCGCGTGGCATTCTTGGTTTCTCGCTTTGGCCTGAGCTCCGTGCGCGGCCGTGTTTTCTCGATTTTCTTCCAGTGTCATTATCCTCTCCCCCTGTTTCCGTGGCGCGCTGCTGCCCTAACCAACATTGCCCGCGGTGGCCTTTGCGCGGCTGGTTTGCTTGCATTTTCTTCCCAGCTCATGTCTTTCTCTCCCCTTTTGCCCTAGCGCCCTGACGGCCGCGGCTCTGAGCGAAGCGCAGCGCGGAGTTCCCGCGACGCGCGCCCAGTCGCCCCGGAGGAGTTCTGGCGACGCGCGAGGGTCGTCCGCGGCAGTGGGCAAAGCAACGCACCGCGAGCAGAAAAAATACAAGGCGCTCGGCAGGGTTCGCAGCAGAGCGGGCAGCTCCTGGAAGCAGAACGCCAGAGAGCCCCCGCGACGCGCATTGGTCGCCCCGAGAGGATTCCAGCGACGCGCGCGAGTCGTCACGGGCGCGAGGCCGAACAGCGAGCCACTCGGAAGAGAAGGCGCGGCTGTGGCTGGCCGCTCCATCAGTCCTCGCCAGAGAAGTCAACGCAGCAGAAGGCGGTCGCGACGGTGTCGCCCCTCGCGCAGCCGTCCGTGAGCAGGCGCCCCCCCCAGCAGAACTGCGTCGATTCTCCCAGCACCGCGTCCGAACCGGCCCATGTTCTTGGCAGTTTTCAAATCACGCCAAATCCTCTTCAGTGCAGTGTCGGACGAGACTGCGGTCCTGAAGCACTCCTCGCCGCTCATTGTCTGGAATATCACCGCGAAGTCCCCAAGCGTCGTCTGCAGCAGCATCGAGGGCGGCGCCGCGGCAACGAAGGCGATTCCTGTGCCTGGAGCGCGAAAACCGACGGCCCGGTTGTCCGCGGACAATCCGCACACCTCAATGGTCCCGTCACTTTTGCTCAATATGGCATAATTTGTCCCGGCGGCGACTCCCGTGTAGGTGACGCCCTCGCTCAGAGAGGGGATGTTGCACTGCCCGCAGTCACTGCTGCCGTAAGCTGCTGCGGTTCCATTGCTCCGCAGCAGCGCCGAGTGCTCCGCCCAGCGGCGACCTCTGTGACCTTCGCGTTCTCCTCGAGATCGGGCAAGTTGCTCTGCCGCGCGTTGTTTCTGCCCACAGCAGTGCCGTCGCCCGCGCGTAAAACCACGTGATCTTGCGACATGCTAATTTACGTGACGGCCTGAGTGCAGCAATACTGACCGATCTGCTCGCAATCCGAGAGGACGATGTACAAGATGCCGTCGCCCAACTTGGGATAGAGACGACTTTCCAGACTCTGAACACGCATGACACTGAGCGCGGTGGAGCTCCGTTTGGGGCCACGAAACGTGTGAGGGGTGTGCCGAAATGGGGTGGTGGTGCCATGCGGACCCTCCCAAAGGGGCCTTCGGTGGAGCTCCCTATGGGGCCAAAAACCGTGTGAGGGGTGTGCCGAAATTGGGCGGTGGTGCCATACGGACCCTTCCATGGAAGCCTTCAGTGAAGCTCCTTACGGGGCCACGAAACGTGTGAGGGGTGTGGCGAAATGGGGCGTTGGTGCCATGCGGACCCTCCCAAAGGGGCCTTCGGTTGAGCTCCCCATGGGGCCACGAACCGTGCCAGTGCGAGGGGTGTGCCGAAATGGGGCGGTGGTGCCATGCGGACCCTTCCATTGGGGCCTTCGGTGGAACTCCCTATGGGGCCACGAACCGTGCGAAGGGGTGTGCCCAGGTGGGGAGGTGGTGCCATGCGGACCCTCCCACTGGGGCCTTCGGTGGAGCTCCCTACGGGGCCACGAAACGTGTGAGGTGTGTGCTGAAATCGGTGATGATGATTAGATGATGATGATGATGATGATGATGATGATGATGATGATGATGATGATGATGATGATGATGATGATGATGATGATGATGATGATGATGATGATGATGATGATGATGATGTGATGCTGATGATGATGATGATGATGATGATGATGATGATGATGATGATGATGATGATGATGATGATGATGATGATGATGATGATGATGATGATGATGATGATGATGATGATGATGATGATGATCGGACCCTCCCAAAGGGGCCTTCGGTTGAGCTCCCTATGGGGCCACGAACCGTGCGAGGGGTGTGCCCAGGTGGGGAGGTGGTGCCATGCGGACCCGACCACTGGGGCCTTCGGTGGAACTCCCTATGGGGCCACGAACCGTGCGAGGGGTGTGCCCAGGTGGGGAGGTGGTGCCATGCGGACCCTCCCACTGGGGCCTTCGGTGGAGCTCCCTACGGGGCCACAAAACGTGTGAGGTGTGTGCTGAAATCGGTGATGATGATGATGATGATGATGATGAGGATGAGGATGAGGATGAGGATGATGATGATGACGATGATGATGATGATGAATGATGAATGATGATGATGATGATGATGATGAGATGAGATGATGATGATAATGATGATGATGATGATGATGATGATGATGGTGGTGATGATGATGATGATGATGGTGGTGATGATGATGATTATGATGATGTTGATGATGATGATGATGGTGGTGATGATGATGGTGGTGATGATGATGATTATGCTTAATATGATGATGATGATTATGATGATGGAGATGATGATGATGATGATGATGATGATGATGATGATGATGATGATGATCATGATCATTATCGTGATCATGATGATGATGGTGATGATGTTGATGATGATGACGATTATGACGATGATGACGACGATGGTGACGTTGATGTTGATGATACTGATGGCGTTAATGATGACGATGATAACGATGATGATGATGATAATGAGGAGGATGATGAGGATGAGGATGCTGATGGTGATGATGATAATGATGACGATGACGATGATGATGATGATTATGATGATGATGCTGATGGTGATGATGATGGTGATGGTGATGGTGATGGTGGTGGTGATGATGAGGATAAGAGGCTGATGATTATGATGCACAGGATGAGGATGGAGGATGGAGGGGGAGGAGAAGGCGGAAGAGGAGGAGAGGAGAGGAACGCGGGGCGCTGTCTCTTCAAAACGAGGACACAACACTACAGGATGGTTGGGGAAAAAACTCCCCAGAATCATGCACAAAAAACAATACGCGGAGAGGGGCCGAACATCTTCCAGACGTCATCTGGGGAGAGAGGAGAGTAGTATTCATATTGCGTGATTGTGCAGGGGAGGAAATAGGAGGAGGAGGAGGATCAGATGAGAAGAAGGAGAAGGCCGAGGCGGCCCTGCGACGGGCGGGTGCGGCAGTCTCTGGGGGCCGCTTCCAAGCCGTGCTGCATCCTCTGGGCGCGCGCGTCGGCTACGCTCCGACAACTTCGGCGCGGTGCTGTGCTCGCGGCTGCCGAGCCAACAAAAAGCAGAGGTGGACAGGAGGGACGAAGGGGAGCAGGAGGTGAAGGGCGAGGAGCAGCAGTCTCATGGAAAATGCAGAGGGGCGGGTTATGGAGTAGGCATGCTGGCGCGTTGGTCCCCCCAGCGACCGCGTACCGAAGCCGCACTGCCCACCTGGTGCGCGACGGCTGGAAGTACAGCGACGCCAGGATCCCGACTCCCGCCACGGCGAGGACCGGCCAGAAGGCGGCAACGCCGCTCGGTATCGCCAGCACGGCGTCCAGCAGCGACTGACGGGGAGGACGAGGACGACGACGACGACGCCGACGACGACGCCTTCGCCGACGCCGACGCCGACGCCGACGCAGACGCCGACGCCGACGCAGACGCCGTCGCCGACGCCGACGCCGACGCCGACGCCGACGCCGATGACGACGCCGACGCCGACTCCCACGCCCACGCCGACGCAGACGACGCCGACGACGACGACGAAGACGACGACGACGCCGACGACGACGCCGACGCCGACGCCGACTCCGATGACGACGCCGACGCCGACGCCCACGCCGACGCAGACGACGCCGACGCTGACGACGACGTCGACGCCGACACCGATGCCGATGCAGACGCCGACGCCCACGCCCACGCCGACGCAGACGGCGACGACGACGACGACGACGACGACGACGACGACGACGACGACGACGACGACGACGACGACGGCGACGGCGACGGCGACGGCGACGGCGACGGCGACGGCGACGGCGACGGCGACGGCGACGTCGACGGCGACGGCGACGGCGGCGGCGGCGGCGGCGGCCAGCGGCCGACGTCCGACAACGATCGACGGCGACGACGACGGAAACGAGGACGCCGACGGCGGCGACCGACGAACGGCGGCCGACGGCGGCGACCACCGATTGACGGCCGACGGCCGACAGCCGACGGTCGACGATGAAGACACCGACCGCCACGTCGGCGGCGGCAGCGACGTCGGCGATGGCGGTGGCGGCGACAACGGCAGCGGCGACGACGCCGCACGGCCTCAGGCGAGCCGCCCCTCGCGGCAGACTCCATGGCGGCGGCCACTGGGACTTCTGGAGTGGCTCAGGGGGTTGCGGCCCCCTCGCACGGGGCCGTCTCGGGCAGTTTGGAGGGCGGATTGACATTTCATATTTCCTTCCTCCTCCTCCTCCTTCTCCTCCTCTTCCTCCTCCTCTTCCTCCTCCTCATCCTCGTCCTCCTCCTCCTCATCCTCCTCCTCCTCCTCTGCCATTCTCTTCCCGTATAACTCATAAATGACTCCTCCCTGTCGCACCCCGAAGCCAGTCGGAAGGGCGGGCCGGGCGGTTCGCCTGGGACTTCCCTACCACGGATGGTCCAGAAGCACGAAAATTGACAACATATTCACACATGAAGGCGGGTGATTTTCAAAATGTTGCTCTCGCCCTAGCGCCGCGCACACTCCTCATACAGATGTGCAGGAGCTTCACGGATTCAGGGCGGGTCGTCTTCAACATGTGACTCTCACCATTGCGCCGCGCTCATTCGTCTTACAAAATCGCAATAATTCCACGGGTTGACGGCAGGTCGTTTCAAAAAGTGGCGCTCGTCTGAGCGCCGCGCACACTCGTTTCAAACATCTGCACGAGCTTCACGAATTGAGGGCGGCTCCTTTTCAAGATGTGGCTCTCGTCTTAGCGCCGCGCACTGCCTTTTTTAACATTTGCATGCGTTCCACGGATTCCCATGGTTGACGTCGCAAAAATGATGTTCTGGAACGGCTCAGGATTATCAGGGCGCAAACAGTTACGCTGATTTACGGTGTTGAAATCCCACGAATGGTGATATGGCTCAATTCAGGATCGTAAACACGCACATTAACTCTCACTGGTCACGACGCACTGGTCTCGGGTCGGCGCTGGGCCGCACACACACACACACACACACACACACACACACACACTTGTGGCGTCGCGGCCACGCGCGCAGCGGCGCGGCGGAGAAAGTTGGGCGAAGAGACGCGCGCTGCCGGCTCAGGTCATGCGGCGTGGGGATACTGAATCCGCCCATGAGAGATCAACAGCCTCACTCGTGGGGGAGAGGGGGAGACAGGGAGAACGCACCGACAACGTACCGAGCAGTGCGCAGTCCAGGCTGTGAGGAGGGGACGCAATGACGGACTGCAGCGGCGGAGCGCGCAGGACGAGACGGCAGCCATGACGAGGACCTTGGGCGCAGACGGCGAGCGAGCGGTGCCAAACTCTCAGGGCACAACACGGGAGCCAGACAGTGCGGACCGATCGCAAAGAGGGGAGGGACCAGACCCCGGCTGCCTCCGCAGGAGCGGGAGGCAGCACGGGCGGGGGACCGCAGCCGCGAGGAGCGGACGGCGCGGGGGGGGGGGGCCGGGACGGGAGCCCCCGACGGCGGTGCAGGCGGCGTGGCCAGAAGGGCCAAGAGCAGGAGGGGCAGGCGGCCGCAGCAGGCCACACAAGGGCGGACGGGCAGAGATCAGGGCGGCAGTAACCCCGAAGGAGGGAGACGAACGGGGAGAGGGGGGAAAGCGGCGGCAATCGGCTCCAAAGGGAGGGACCGGCGCGCCCCAGTCGAGCTCAGAGCGGCGATGGAGGGCGACGAGGAACGGGGAACCAACGGCCCGCAGCCACGGGGAGTAGCGCCCTGCAAGTCAAGGGACGGTGCGCCAGGTGAATTCCGTTGAGGGATGAACTCAAGGAATCTGGCGAAGACGATCCGCCGCCGCCGCCCGCCGGCGAGGCGCGGCAGCGGCAGCGGCAGCGGCGCCGGCAGCAGCGGCGGCAGCGGCGGCGGCAGCGGCGCGGCAGCGGCGGCGGCGGCAGTGGCGGCCAAAGCAAGCCCCCCGTCCGCCAGGACGAAAGCCGAAACAGCCACGCCGCTGGCCAGGGCGGCCGCCGCTGGCGGCCAAGGAACAGGTGGCTGACCTGCCAGCAGGGGCCAGTCTTGGGACCAGGGGGCTTTCCAGGGAGCTGAAAGCAGCCCTGGGAAAGCGGGGAAGGTCGTCAGAAAATGCGTCGAGCAGGCCGTCGGGCACGCTGTCGGGTAGGGTGTCGGTTCATGCGTCGCGGAGGGTGTCGGGTAGGTCGTCGGGGAGGCCGTCGGGGGGGCCGCTGGGAAAGGCGCTGGATCGTCGGGTACGTCGGGGGGGGGGCCAGGTCGGGCGTCGTAGAGGGCGTCGGGCAGGTCGTGGGAGGAGAGGCCAGGAGGGCGCACGGTGCCACTCAACCAGGGGGGCTGCCCAAAAAAATGGTGGACCGACTACAATGGAACACTGGGGCTGCCCTGGGAGCAAGAGGCTGCCCTTCCAGTCGGGGGCTGGCCTGGAAGTAGGGGGTCGCCCCAGGATCACGGGGCAGCGAGGCGCCCTGGAGGCAGGGGGCACCCTCCCCCTAGCGCGCAGCCCTGGGAGGGGTGACGGGGAGACAGGGAGAGCGGGGCAAGGAAAACGGGGAGACAGAGAAACGCCGAACGCTTCGCCGGCGAAGCGTTCTGAGTTTGTACTCGGGTTTGGGACGCCCCCAGCGGCCCCCAGGACAAGGCAGCGGCCGCGGGTGCCTTGCCAGGGCCCGCCCGGAGGTAGCGACGGCAAGGGAAGGCTCAAGCCCAGCTCAGCGGAGGCAGCCGAAAAAGAAATTGGCCAGGGAGCGAGGAGGGTCGGGGCCAATGCAGCAGCGGGAATGCTAAGCCACATACGCATGCCAGCGGACTGAGCGACCCGAGAGTAGCACTGGAAGGCTTGGACGCGCTGCGCGGGAGTGAAAAGCTCCACACGCGGGCGCCAGACGCGAGGAGGGGCGGCAGGGGCCGGGGTCTGCGGGTGGGGGGGTAGCCCCTGGGGGATGGACATGAAGGCCGACTACACACACCGAGTTGGCCTGACCGCCGCCCCCATCCACATCGAACTAAGAGGTCGGGACAGGCTCGGTGCAACCCCACACACACACACACACACACACAAACAGAAAAAAAAAAAAAAAAAAAAAAAACAAAAAAAAAAAAAAAAAAAAAAAAAAAAAAAAAAAAAAAAAAAAAAAAAAAAAAAAAAAAAAAAAAAAAAAAAAAAAAAAAAAAAAAAAACGGCGCAGAAGGACCTCGGACGCGGTGCACACACACACACACACACACACACACTTGGAAGTGAGAGAATGACTTGTAGATGCTGTAGGTTTCCCCCTTGGAGCAAGGTGCCCTCGGAACTCGCGAAAACCTCAAGGTTGGAGACGGAGACGCACTCAGGGTCCTCAGAGACCGCGAAATCCAATATCGAAAGGCACTCAGGGCCCTCAGATACCACGAAATGAAAGAAGAAGACGCCCTCGAAATCCTTAGAGACCCTAATAAAGACCTTCGAGGCCCCCAGAGATCGTGAAATCCAAAGAGTCAGGCATATCCTAACACTCCCCCGCGACGCCTTCGGGGTTCCACCACCATCGGCTACACAAGCTCGAAGAGCACCAGGCATGTAAAATTTCCAACACCTGCAGCTGAGAAAACAATAGCGAACATCCTGCAAGACAGTCATAAGATCATGGATCCATGAAATCAGCGAATCATCGCGGACCCACAAATTCGCGCCGCCCTGCACGGGCGCCCTGAGCGCTAGCCTAAACCCGCCAGGCTATCTCCTGACATGAAACGGCCGTGGAGCGACAGGCATGTGGCATAACAGGACATGTAACAGTCAGCTCAAACAACAGCTACCCGATACTCACCAGCTTCCCGAGAAAAGACATAGCGGCGCTACCTTCATATTGCTCAAAATAGAACACACGTACACACACACAGCCGACCCTAAAGTTGGGAGGGATTAAAGAACGAAAAAAAAACAAAAATGATACCTCCGTTTCCTCTGGCGGCAACTTCATCTGCTCTCCTCGGTCATCGCATGGCCTCCAAGCTAGAGATCCCAGATCACGCCAAGCTTATAGGAACCAGTCGCAAGCAGCCGCTGCACCAGAGAGGATGGCAGCCTGACCAGAGTTTTGCGCCATGCTAGGGTATCCCATCGGAGGCACGTGTTTTCCAGCATCGAAGCCAGAAGCATGGCGCTGGTGGCATGGCTGGATAAAACCATCGGTCACAGACAAGATCGAAGCCGAACGTACCCAACACCATAAGGAGGACACGACATGCCTCACCTGCCAGCTTAAGACTGCTAACAATCATTTCACGGCTATCACTGATGAGGAGGCCTCGACCGCCAGGCGACTGCAAACGCATGAGATGCACACTACAACAATGTGATACAAAGTATGGAGCGAGAAGAGGGACAGGGACGAAGCGACAAATGAGGAGGGAGAGAGGGTAACACGGCGCTGGCTGGCGGCACAAGGATCAGCATACCACGAAACATCGGGGCCTCACTGCAAGAAAAAACTCTGAATATCGTCACTGTGCCACTCGCCATGTTCCGTGAGACTCGTGTAGACTGACTCTCCAATTATCACGGCATGGTCGTAGCCGACCGCCTCCTGAGGTGGGCAGCCGAGTGACCTGATCTTGGTGTTCCACTGGGTTGGGCCCTTGACCTTAGAGACCTCTCTCCACCACCCTCCGAATGTGATGGTGCCATCTAGAGCGGCGGCGACGGCGGTGCCGAGGGCGGTCATGCCACCTCGACCGGCACCAACAGCAAGGAACCCAAGGCCTCTCGCGTGGGAAGCCACATCCACCTGAGCGCTAAAGAAAGCCACTGGGAGCGGTCCGTCACGCGGGGCTGGCCGAGCACCTCCACCCCGGGCGGCCCCTGTCAGTGGGGTTCCTGCCGGTGACGCCGCGGCCGACGTGCCAGCCGAAGGTGCAGAACGGGGGCGGCGAGGGGTCCTCGGGGCCGGTGGCAGCATCTCCATGCCCATGCCCTGAGCCATGCACTGCAGCAGGGAGCGCGTGGATCGCACGTCCTCGCCCTGGCACTCAAGCGTCGTCTGGAGCGTCAAGATCTCGCGGCCGCGCGTGGCGACCGCGTCGGACACCGCATCTTCATGAAAAATCCCCGACTGCCCAAGCTGCTCGTCAAAGTTGCCAGTGCCCGACGGCCGAGGCGAGACGAGCTCCCGCAGACGGTTGACGGTCTGCTGCACTCGGGTATCCTGTCGGGCACGCT